ACTGCTCTATCGGCAGCGATGACAGCAGCGTGAACCAGTACATCAGGTAAGTTCCCAAGAAAGAGAGGTGAGTCACTAATGGGCACACTTAAATACCAAGTTTTTCCTTGTCATAACCTTCCTAGACATGCACTTTCACACTACCAAATAAAATCCAGTAAGAAAGATAACTCTTTTCTGATGTGGAGGATCAGTTTAACCGGTAGCGGCAGGGGCGGCTCCAGCAGTAGACAAAGGCGGAAAAAAAAATTTCAAGATAACCTTAAACTCAAGATACCATGTTAAATATAGAGGAAACAGGGGTTGACATTAATTTCTGTTGTGTATAAACCACACATAGGGTAATCTATTTATAATAGAGAGAGGTACATAAAAAAAGAGTAACTAAAAATAAATAGAGTAACTGAAAATAAATAGAGTAAACAAAAGATATTGTTTGATATTGTGGTTAACAATATCTAACAATATCTTAACAATATCAAACAGTATCTAACAGACAGAAAAGAATTTGTCAGAAATTTCATTATCGATAAATATTACCAACGGATTTGAATAGTTTGTCGGTAATTACTGACGGATTTATATCCGTTGAAAAGTGTTGTAGATAATTACTGATGGATATATCCATCAGAAAGTATTGTAGGTAATTACCGATGGATAAATGATGTAGGTAATTATCAACGGATATATCCGTAAGAAAGTATTGTAGGTAATTATCGATGAATATATTTGTCAGAAAATATTATAAGTAATTACCAACATATATATATATCTGTCGGTAATCACTTATTTTCTGACAACTACATATCATTCATTAACTAATTGTTTATATTGGCACTCTGCAGCATTATGAACTATTCAAATTATGAAGATTAAGAAATCTTGTTAATGACACTTACACGGAATCTACAGGATTTCAAAAATTTTATGCTTTTCTTTAATAGGGTTACGTTTCCTGTTTTCTCCTTCATATCTTAAATTATCTAAACATGTATACCTCAACATCAACAATGTTAGTTGAACTACAGTATTTATGAATTGTAGGGGTATTTTTAAATTAAATTTAAAAATGCAAATAACGATACTAAAGAGTAAAACAATTTAAATGATAAAGGAGATGCGTAACTAGTTTAGACAAATCTCTCTGTCTCTGTCTATCTATTTATTTATATATTCAAATCTATATATGTTTACAATGATATATTTAAAATTATTACAGAAAGAGATTATCTTACTTTCAAGAACGTGGACTCTAGTAGTCTAATTTATTACAAAGGGTGGATACACACCGATGTTCCTCACTAACAATAAAACACAGTAAACAAAAGAAGAACACTCTGAAAAATCTACACTTAACATGTTTATCTTCTTTATCTTTGTCTTGCAACGATAAGATTTTTAAGGGGAATAGGAGCTCGTACCGATTACAGGAAGTATATGCTTCAGGCATCCAAGAAAGGTTGAGTCAGAATTTCTCCTTGCTCCGATTTTACAAGCTTGATTCCTTCCAATGCAGGAGTGAAAACAGTTCCCTCCATTTCGTTGTTTACTACACATAACATGGCCAAAAGCCAATAAATAGATAAGTAAATTTAACAGAGATCAAATAGGCATTTAAGCCAATACTATTAAAATTACATAAATATTTTCCCTTTCTTTTTTCTCTATCTGCTAAAGTTTAGAATGTGAAATCAAGTAAAGGAAAACATAGAACTTTCTTCAGAAGCACGCATGCACGCTATAGTAAAGTCTGGATTCAACTAAGGAGAATAATATTAAAAATGTCAAAAAATCACAATTCATACTGATAAAGGGATGCAACATAAGCAAATTTAATGGAAACTGCGTTTACAACGCATAAAAAAAACTTAAGAAAATAATTTGAGGTAATAGTCCCTGTCTTTCATAATGTTTACAACTAAGAACATCTAACTTGTATATGATCATCAGATTTGTTTTCTTCAACACGATTGAACTCCATTTTTGCTAATCACCAAATGCAAATGGAAGACAATAAAACCTGCTGAGATATGATGGATATAGATGTGGAAAGTTCTGAGGCCAGATCAAATAATTAAACTTTACTGAACCAATGTATGATGAAATAAGAACGTCAAATATCGAATCAACACAAATTTCAAAAGCAGGAAAAAAAACCATCAATTGAATTGAGTGCAGAAGCATCCCAAATCTAATTTCTCAAAAATCTCACAAATTTTCAATTTTACCGGGAAACAGCATAAAGATTGATACATATAAAGGGAAAAATAATTACAATTAAAATAGACATACATTGAACGAGGAAAACCTTGGTGATCTCAGACTGAGAACAACTGCAAGCACATCACAAAGGTAAGTTTTTATTATTGTTTTATTTGGTTTTCTTTAAGGCGTTTTGGGACGAGAGCAATTGTAAGAAACACTTTCTATCATCAAATTTAAATTCGAAAAAAAAAAAATACTCTTAATGTTTAATTAATCACGGATTTGTTAAAACAATTCAATATAAAATTATAAATTTAAAATAAAACATATGAGAGAATGAAAGTTAAAATAATTCTTAAAAGATTTCTCAAAAAATAATTCTTAAAAATAAATAAATAATTTAAATCAAATTTTTAATTTGTCTTTCTTTTATTCTGTCCGTGAACAAATAATTCGTGTTGTCAAACCTACGACGGACTTTTCCAATTTTTCTATAATATAATGATTATATATATATATATATATATATATATATATATATATAATTTATAAAATATATTTTATATAAATGTTTAAAAAATTTATTTTGAATTGATATATAATTTAATTGTAGTTTATGAAAATTTTATATATCAATTCAAAATTAAAAATTTATATATATATATATATATATATATAATTTTAATTTATAAAAAATATTATTATTCTCCAAAATGTAGATGTATGTACCTATATAAATTTGATTGACGAATTTTTATGTGTTTCTTGGTCTGATTACCATTGTATGTATATGAACGAAACTAAACTACTGAAGTCTCTCTTTCTTTCAAATTTACTTCATGTCTGTGTAAATTACATGAATTTAAACCATTCATAGGGAGAATGGATAAATATAACTCAACTTTATCACATTTTTTAAATAAAATGTTCATATATTTTAATAAATTTTAAATATGATATAAATTACATTTAAAAAAATATAATTTATGAATAATAAAGAAAAAAATATAATTTAGATATTAGTTATTTTAACATTATAATATTTTAAATTATATTAATAAGTGATGAAAACTTTCTGTGAGCTGTGTAAATGTGGGAGAGTTTGTTCCATTGAGAATTAAATATTAAAAATAAAAAGGATAATATTAGGTTTGGGCCTGGAGTTGCACTGAGACCCATGTTTACGAGGACAAGGGTAGAGTCGGAGGCCCATGTCAAGGTGGATCCGAGGTTCTTTCATAAAACTACCCCAACTTGCAATCTTAAAACCCTAGTTAGAGTGTTTCACCCACCGTCTCTGCCTCTCTGCAATCCATAGCCGAAAATGGTGATTCCGCTTCCTCTATTCTCCACTCCGCTCATTTTTTCTCTCTTTTACATTTTCACGTTTTCTAAGTTTTAATCTAACCAAATTGTGTTTTCTGTTTTCTGTGCGCAGCCTTTCAAGAGGTACGTCGAGATCGGGAGGATTGCTCTCGTCAACTACGGCAAGGAATATGGCAAGCTCGTCGTCATCGTTGACGTCATTGACCAGAACAGAGTAACGCACCACCACCACCCATGTTTTTACTTTTTTTTTTTTCACTTTTATTCATATCAATTTAATTGGTTTCTTAGAATTAGTTGTTACTTTTTTTTTTTTGTTAATAGGCACTTGTCGATGCCCCTGACATGGTCAGGTCCCAAGTCAATTTCAAAAGGCTTTCCCTAACCGATATTAAGATTGATATAAAGAGAGTCCCGAAGAAAAAAGATCTTGTTAAAGCCATGGAGGCTGCTGGTTCGTTTTTTATGTTTAAATATTTATCATTTATTTATTTTTCTTTAGTATTATTAGGTTGTAATGGAAAATGTTTGTGTTTCCTGATGATGAGTAGATGTTAAGAACAAGTGGGAGAACAGCTCATGGGGCAGGAAACTCATTGTCAGAAAGAGAAGAGCAGCCCTCAGTGACTTCGATAGGTTCAAGTTAATGTTGGCCAAGATTAAGGTATAATTTTATGCTCTTTAATATCCTTGTTGCGCATGGTGGAACTAAATTATGTTTATATTTATGGTAATATTTGGATTTTTAAATTTGTGCAGAGAGCAGCTGTGGTAAGGCAAGAGCTCTCTAAGCTGAAAAAGAGTGCTTAGGCATTTCTTCACGATATAATGTTCAAGTTCAAATTTTGTTATGAGGTTACTTTACTTTGGATTACATGTATCATTGAGACACTTGAAAAAGTTTCATCTTCAGATATTTAATGTTAGTTCTTTATGATAGAACTTGAAAGCTTCTTGGTTTTATAATATTTATGATTGACAATTGTTTTCCCCCTCCATTTCTCACTTTGTTAATTTAGGTTTTGTGATTAAATAGGTTCTGCTTTGTATGTTTCTACACTAACTGCCGTGTGTAGATTAGCCTGTGGGCAGTGGTTTTACATGAAGCGGAATTTCTTGATCCATCTTACTGGATTATGTCTTGAACTGGACGTATAATTTGGCGGATGTGCTCTTGTACTTATTTATGGTTTGATTAGCACCCCCTAAAATCCAATTATTATCACACTCAATTTTCGCATTCTGTAATTCGAAATAAACTATATTTGGATGCTAATGGGTTACTATAATTTAAATATAGCCTTACGTTGTTCACATTAACGGAGTAATTGTTTAGGTTATCTAGCTTTTTGCACATATCAAGTATAAATTTGTTTGTACCATGTATCAAGTTACTGAAGTGTTTTTAAAAAAACAAAGGTTATTGATGAGCCAGGAAGATTAATAAAATAAATAAATTTCCATCATAATCAAGAATTTCCATCATAATCAAGCGTCGAATTTTGTATGTTAATTTGTATAGTTGAATGCTTGATGTTTTCCCATATTTGTCTCTGCTTTTTTATGGTGCTGTAAGCCATCCTGTGTATTTTTTTGTTTGTACTTAGTAAACGATCCATTTATTTCACTTCATTACAATGAATCACCGCAATTTTTTTAAATAAATTTTTTTATATCTTTATTTAATTCCGCCGGAAGTTAGGATGTATGTTTAGCTTTTTTTTTCTTTCTCTTTTCCGATTATTCTATCGAGGTGTAGTATATTGAAAGAAGCATTGAAAATCTTTTATTGGTCAATGAAAGACGGGCTACTCTTTAGTTTAGGATAAGGAGAATGATCAAATATTTCATTTGAATTGAAGAGAAAACAAAAAATTTATTTAATTTTTAGAAGTTTTCTTTTATATATATATATATATATTCAATCAGAGGGGTCCTTAGGTATGAATAATTGGATTAAAAGTTTGGTCAATGGTTTAAATTATTTGACAAATGTGTCTGGTTTAAATAATTTTCTTATTTTTTTTACCAGATATGTTTATAGTCCATCTAATTTTGTTGGTTCAACTAGTTTATATGTCACATGCAATCAAATTTTCATCATGTATAATCTTTACTTTGATTTTCATCTTCTCTTACATTTTTAAATTGAATTTTAAATTGAAAGAGAATATATAAGCAATTTAAACAAGAATTTTGTTTTACGGGACTTTTCATTCATACAAAATAACATAAATCTCTAGAATGACTAATCATATTTTCGCAAGGATAAAATATTTTTACTCTAGAAAATCAGTTAATTTATAAGTGAATTTAACTAAATTTTGTTAAATTTAAAATTGAAAAAAAAATACAACAGTATAATATGAAAACATGAACTAGAAATAATTATAATGTTAATTACACTTTCACTTCCCCTAAGTACAAACCCAACTTCTACTAACCTCATTAATTAGCTCAATATTACGTCTTTAATCTCAAAATAATACGTAGATTAAATGTTTGTGCCCAACTAGTACTATTAAACATTGTTTTCGAAAATATAATTTTGTTAACAAAAATTAATCACTGTGTTAGAAATATTTTATTATACTTATAACATAGTAACAAAAAAATAATTAAATTAAGCATTGTTTATTTTACTGTTTCAAATACAAAAAATGAGTCTAAAACATTTTAAAATAAATAAAGCCTTGTATAAATATAAATTTCCATCATCCTTTAATGTTAATTTAAAACTTTTCTTAATTGTTATAATTTTATATTTATGTATTATATGATATTAAAAATAGTCCTTATTATTAATTCAATTATAATTAAACATTTAAATAGTAAACTTAAAGTCTTCGTTGGTTTTATTACTCAATTTTTAAAAAAATATTTAAATTAAATAACGATTTTAATTCCCAATTTTGGAAACGAATTAATTAAAAACTTGAAAAGAGAATTCCATAATTTATAATAATTCTATTTAAAGTGCTAGACAAAACTAAAAAAATATGTTTTTTGAATAATACTGCCGTTTTGTATAAAAAAAATGTAAAAAAAAAAATTAAGAACATGTTTGCCATCTTGAAGAAAGGTAGGTGGAATGGAATACATGGAAGCAACTCAAATAAAAAAACAATTATAATATTAAATATGTAAACCATGTCACATTCAAGATCTACAACCACATTCATCAACATTAAGCAACCTAAATACATATTCATCTGCCATCTGTCATTCTCCAATTATTTTTTACCTATTAGAAATGATCTTGAATAAAAAGATAATAAAGATATTGATTAAAAAATACTGACAAATTTATTAAAAATAATAAAAATTAATACTTATAACGAAATTACCTATATTACTTTCTGAAATCGTGGACCAAGTCTCAATAGTAACCACCATTCTTACTTTCTTTAATTTTCTGAATTAGATTCACTCATGGACCAAGACTCAATATTGGAGCCACCATTTTGTCTAGCTTTACAAATTTACTTCTAACTTTATACAAAGTCGTAATAAAGGATGAGTTCAAAATGAATTTAATTCCTTCAATAGGGGAAGTAAATACTCTTTTATAATGTTGAAGTGGTCTTTCTGATGTGAACATGACCTATGATAAGGGCTAGAGCAAGGGAAGCAAATGAAGCTCTTCAACAAATATTGTTGGTTGACCAAATTGTGTTTTGGAGTAATCAATTAATGGACTTTAGTTTGATTTTGTTTTAAGTTGTAATAAGGGCCCAATTGGAAATTTAGTTATCAGTCTTTTGGGAGACCAAGATGGTGCATAACTGATTGGCTTTTTGATGCCAAAATTTCAGTTACAATAAAATCATTAAGTAGTTTTCAATTCTTAGGTTAATAAATCATTATTAGCATTTATTTTCCTTTAATGAATATTTGTAATTCTGATGGCAACGCTTCTATATCAGCTGAACCATTCTTATCAAGAAATAACAAGTGGAATTTTATTCAGAAATATTAGAGTTTATCTCTTTTATCTTAGTGAGAGTGATTCTCCTAAATTCTTGAGTGATTCAAGAATCCTTGGCTGTATCAAAGGACTTTCACATCCTTTGTGTGTTGCCTTCCTTGGGAAGAGTGATTCTTTCCTTCCACCTTCTTTCTAATTCCTAAATTTCTTACAAGGTTCTAACCCTAAAGATCCTAAATTACCCCTTGTGATTCATATCAGTTGGTATCAGAGCCCCCGGTTTAAAGGTTTGAACATCAAATTGATGGCAGAGGAGGATAAAAAGAAAATGAGAGAAAAATTTCTTCAAGAAAAGAGAGAAAAAAAGAAGAGTGAAACACTTGAAGTGAAGAAGAGTTATTTAGCCATAAAAAGTGAGTATAATGTTAGTTCTACATTCAATTTATCAGACTTATCTCTTTTTTATGTAGATGATGAATCCGATTTGAGGACAAATCTTTTTCAAGAGGGAGAGAATGATGTGAACATGACCTATGATAAGAGCTAGAGCAAGGGAAGCAAATGAAGCTCTTCAACAAATATTGTTGGTTGACCAAATTGTGTTTTGGAGTAATCAATTAATGGACTTTAGTTTGATTTTGTTTTAAGTTGTAATAAGGGCCCAATTGGAAATTTAGTTATCAGTCTTTTGGGAGACCAAGATGGTGCATAGCTGATTGACTTTTGGATGCCAAAATTTCAGTTACAATCAATCATTAAGTAGTTTTCAATTCCTAGGTTAATAAATCATTATTAGCATTTATTTTCCTTTAATGAATATTTGTAATTCTGATGGCAACGCTTCTATATCAGCTGAACCATTCTTATCAAGAAATAACAAGTGGAATTTTATTCAGAAATATTAGAGTTTATCTCTTTTATCTTAGTGAGAGTGATTCTCCTAAATTCTTGAGTGATTCAAGAATCCTTGGCTGTATCAAAGGACTTTCACATCCTTTGTGTGTTGACTTCCTTGGGAAGAGTGATTTTTTCCTTCCACCTTCTTTCTAATTCCTAAATTTCTTACAAGTTCTAACCCTAAAGATCCTAAATTACCCCTTGTGATTCATATCACTTTCTCACAAATATTTTCATGTGAATTTGCTACATTACATTAACACTTACCTTAACATGTGAATTTCTCATAATTGGATCACACGCATCAGTCCAATTGGTGAAATGCTGTTAAGAGTCTTTTCATTCTCTTATAATTGAAGCCAATAATTTCATTCCCTCTAATGTGCATTAGAACAAAATACTCGGGCCACGAAACATGCATGGTGCAAAATTTCCAAAAGCGCTTTTACAGATCCTTATCCTTTCCTTCAAAGGAAAAATAGAGAATGTATTTATTACAAAATAGCCATATATTAACAAATTCCTTACGTAACATAGTATCTCTTCATGAATGGGCCCATGCTGAAATAATCATGGAAGAACATCCGAAGAGGTATAAGAGTCCGCCAAATCTCCATGAAGAAGTTTGAATGAGCTTTAGCCTCAATATTGGATGGAAATATACAGAGAAATCAACGTGTAGATATCTCAAACGAAATTATCAACACAACTAAGACCCTTGACACAATAAATCTGCTGATTACAGAGCTCTTCATTTCCGTTTTCCTGTGCCAAGTGACAAGAGTTCAAAGCTCCTGAGGGTATCATCACGACCACCTCCCGTCGCTGAAGCCCGAGTTAGAGATGTTTTAAACTCAGAACTGGGTTGAAGTCTCTGACTTGTTGATAGTCTGCTAGCACGGCTTTCACTGGGCTCGCCAGAAGAGCTTGGTCGGCTACTTGACAAGACAGGCTTTTTTGAAGAACTGCCATTACGAGAAGAGCTACGAGGCCTCTCAGGAGCAGCTTGCTGCAAAGGAAAACAAAATTATAAACAGTCCCATAAAAGTGTAGGGTAACAAATTCATGTCATACACAGAAAACAATGACTCAGATACTAACCACATCTTTGGATGATGGCACATCATCCCAAGACCTATGCCTAGAATGATCACCATGCAGACCAAGTCCAGAGCCATTCCTCCTCGCAAATGCCTCAACTGCACCTGAGAACCTATCTCGAATCTCTGGCACCCCTGTAATATAAGTACGATAATCATTAGCTGATGAAAGCCTTTTTCAACCAGTTTGTAGAATTTAAGTAATACACTATTCTGTGTCCAATGTTCAGCCAATTTTTTGAACGGGACAAAATACTATCAGTTTCAAAACATGCGATGAGAATAAAAGCTCATAAACATGAAGAATAGTAAATAGAACTACAATAGTTGCTACTTCAAAAAAACTGCAGACAGATTAAACCTGAAGGCCGTTCTCCTGATTGTCCAGGGTTTATGACTGGTTTCCCACTTGGCTGTTGAAGATGCGGCAAACAAATGATTAAAAAGAACTTAAACTTTTGCTAGAAAAACAATGAAAGCACACTAGGTAAGAAGTACTCACTCGAGCTCTAGAGCTGGATCCAATTTGTGGATACTTCAACATTGTCCAATCAAATATATAGTCAAACTGATACCCTGTGAAAGCAAGAGCTTCAAATCCTTATAGAATTTTCATTACTCATAAGGAAACATTAAAGCTTATGTATACAAAGTTAACCTTCTCGAATGAATAGGTCCCGAAAGAGTCTCTTAAGATAGGAGTAATTAATCAGGCTTATCTTCAAATCGCAATGATCGGCAGTAGTGGAAGTATGAAGTGAATTCCAATGGATATGACTTGCATAAGACCTGGCTCAGAAACCCACACAATAAATTATTTACAACAGATAATGCTAGAGAAAGAATTAATTTATTGTACAACCAATTCTACTTGGTTAAAGAAAAATATTTGCAGTAATCAGAATATTTTCGAAATAGAAGCTTCTTGTGAGCAAGTAACAAAACCTCGATTGAAGTAAGCCTCTTCTTTTCACTTATCTTGTCATATTTCTGCTTTTTAGTGCCAGCTTTCAAGCCTTGCCATGGGAGACTGGAAAATAATAGCTAAAAATGTTAAAATATAACAACGACGATTATTGCAGAGAAATAAAACAGCATTTCAATTCAACTGACCTTCCTCTCAAAAAGTTCATGAGCACATAACCAAGAGATTCTAGATCATCTCTTCTGCTTTGTTCTGCAAGAATTATAAGAACAAGATTGTCAAAAATTTATATTCATTTTGAGTTTAAAATTAAAAAGCTTAGAAAATTTTATTGATTATTTAGCTGGAAGTAGCAAGCCCGTAATCAACAGCCTCACTCACCAACTCCCTCCCAGATGTGTATTAACACTTGCATAACGAGCAGTTCCAGTGAGGTTTTTGTTTTCCCTGAAAAAAATAAAGTACAATGACATTAACAAAAGAAAAGGGATGTCTAGCACGATAACTATTTTATATATTAATAAAGGATACAGGTTTGGCAGAAGACACATGAAGGCCACAAGGGTGCAGGTTCAAGTTTTGGTATATTATTTTGGATTGGCTCAGGTTCAAAACTGGTAAAACTAGAAGCATCACTGCTATCTGATAAAACAGTTATGTGATGTGTCTGTAAAATAAACAGTTACCTATCTGAATAATTAATGTATAAGTAGTATTCAGTCTTTATGCAGTTATGCGTTGTATTGGGTTTCCCACTGCATTTGGATAGTTAAAATAACAAACTTGAATGAATGAATGCGTTTCCCACTGCATTAAAGTATAAAATATTCATGGGATCGGGAGGCCCAAATAGTAAACTTAATGCACTTCCCATGACAACTCCAGAATATGACATTTTACAAACTTAGGTCAATAAATATGAAGAAGGATTTTTCAATAAATTGGTTTTGTTTCAGTGAAGAAATTCAAGATTATAAGGGAGAGAAAAAGCATCAAAAGAATATTACAGTCAAGCTTGAACTAGCAAGCCAGCCATGCCACTTCTTTAGAGTCTGGTTATAGGAATATGTGTAGGGATGCCAATTAAACCCGTACCCGTGGGGACCGACCCATCCCCGTCCCGAGTTTGACGGGGAAAACCCGAGTTGACCGGGGGCGGGGTCGGGTTCGGGTTTTCCCCGCTTTAAAAAGTCGGGGCGGGGCGGGGATGGGTAATGCAATCCCACCCGACCCGCCCGTCCCGTCCGACTTTATATTTAAATTTAAATTTTAAAATATTAATATTTTAAAAGTATTTCATTTTCTTTTTCTATTACATATAAGGTTATTTTTTTATATTTCACCAATTTTTATTTTTCTTCTACCCACTTTTTAATTTTTTTTATCTTTTTCAATCTTTTATATCAATTAATTTATTATATTATTCTCTCACTTATCTTTCAGTTTTTCACATTTTCTTAGTCTCTCCCATCAATTTGTTTTCTTTTTCAATCTTTTCAACCAATTTGATGAACACAAAGTTAATCTTTTTTCTTTATCTTTTTCTAAATATTTTACATCAATCTTAGTAGTAACTAATATTAGTTTATTTATAATTTATATTTATTATGTCATGTTTTTTATCTTATTATGCTTATTTATCATATATCAAATTTTATCTTAATAAAATAATTGTATTTTAAAGGATTAAAAGAAATTAATAATTTAAACTTTTATTACTTCAAACTAATTAAATAAGAATTAACTTATTAAATATTTTCTTATAAACTATATATTGACAACTTGAAAATGAATTAACTTATATGTATAATTAAATATTTGAATACGAGTATTATAATAATAATGTTATAAATATTAGATATATATATATATATATATATATATATATATATAAATAAAAAATAATTAAATATTTCTTTTACATATATATTTTAATATAAATATAATAAATTAAAATGTATATTTAATTAATAATAACTATAAATTATAAATATTTATTTATATAGAAAAATACACAGTAAAATTAATTTATTATAAATATAATTATCTTTTTAAAAATAATATAAATCGGGGACGAGACGGGCGGGGCGGGAACCCGAAACCCGGTGGAGACGGGGATGGAGACTTAATTCCTAACCCCGGCGGGGATCGGGGGCGAGGACGGGGATGGTTAAAAAAGTCGGAGGCGGGGACGGGGGAGACAAAACCCGCCCCCGCCCCGCCCCATTGCCATGCCTAAATCTGTGCAGGCTTGTGACATTGACCAATCTGTATGCTCAATTAAGTTTTGGAACAATGCCACCAAGAAATCCATTGCTCTGAAAATTTCACAGGTCAGAGAAATAAATGAATACAAAATTAAAAACATGAGAAGTAAATGTAACTAAAATGCATTTCTTGAGGTCTCTGGTTTTAAAATAAAAATTAGTAAACTAGTATAAGTGTGGAGAAATATCCTCACATTGCTAAGGTTTACAATAGAAGAGCTAAGGGGAAGGTCATTGGATGAAAGGTTCATGATAGCAAACTGCGCAGGCGGGAGGGAATTACGCAGAAACGACTGACACCTATGTAATTGTCTGTAACATGGCGGCATAGAGGTGAGAATGAAAGTAGCATTCTGTTATTGGATGGGGGTAGATGTAATGATGAGTGAGATCAGGCACGAATTAGGTAGTAAGGTGTTGAAGGAAATAGGTCCCTGGAAGAACCGTCGGCATTCTTCTTCAAGTTTCTCGTACCTATCATTATCACGTTAGCACTTTGAATGGTAAGCTCAGCATAAAGGCACTTAATAAGCCCAATAAATTAAATAAAAAACAAAAGGGTCTACAATTGAAGCCAGTGAAAAGATCCGTCACTGAGCTAAAATATAATACAAGCAATATAATCTTTCCGTATTCCGTAACACCTTAAGAAAGTAACTCAACCAAAACAGATAAGAAATAAATTCAGGCTTTTGATTTTAGAAGAATAGGCCAGGATCAATTTTTTTCTTGTCCACAACTATAGTTACTGGAGAATATCATACCAAATTTGTGATGATAAACATCCCATGCACAGATGGACCCACACTACAAAAAAAAAAAATCTATTATCTACAAAATATTACCTACGGATAAAAATCCATAGGTAAATTATACACTGCATACATATATTATCTACAGATAAAAATCTATAGGTAAATAAATTGTACATTACATACAAATATTACCTATGAAATTCTATCTGTATATAAATTATACATTACATACAAATATTACCTACATAATTCTATCCGGATGTAAATTATCCATTACCTACGGATATTGTCAGTAGGTAAATTATATCAAATTAAAAAAATTGTGACTAAGATTCAAACGCAATACCTTAAAATTGGAGACCGATACTCCAATCACTAAATTATTAAATTTTTTTGATAATAACTTATAAATAAGTTATATTTATTTACAAATAAATGTATATCCATATAAATATATAAATATATATATAAATATATAAAAATATATAAAAATATATATATATATATATATATATATTTGTATTTATATATTTACATGAGATAAATATAAATATAATTTATTTGTAAGTT